CCTTAGAAGAATGAGAGTTATGAGATAAAAAATATATTTATGTTAGAAAACATTTTGCTGCTCTCTTTTTCCCCCCTCCATTGGTTTTGGACATTTTGGATTCCTGCCTCCACCTAGTGTTGCCTCAGTCAAACTTCTACCTGAGTTTTATAAGGTTATGATGGTGACATCTCTCACAGAAGAGACTTTTTCCCCATTTGTTGTAAAGTACAGCTGGCCTTTCATCATAATTAATATCACAGTTTATATCAGTAGTTTTTATTTTATTATATTTTCCTGGTTGTCTTTTACCATTTAAAAGGCCGGCCCGTAGTGAGGAACAGAATGGTTGACAAAAGGATTCTTGGTAACTCTTCCTTTTACAGTCCTGTTACCCATGTACTTACTATGTACTTATTATAGTAATTTTTTAGCAATGCGGTTTAAAAAAAGGTGATTTTACATAGTCATTTATGTCTTAAGTGAACGTAAACAGTTGAGAAAGAAAATGCACGAGTATATTGGATCTGTGCAGTCAGTCTTAAAGTGACAGCATCCAAATCTACCTGTTGTCGTTATTAATGCTAATCAAACAACAAAAAAGAGAGAAAATCTCTCAATGCTCTTGACTGAATCACTTATGTAACTTTAATAAGAATAAATGTATATTTCATTTACACAGTAAAGACTATGCATTGTTTTTTATGCATAAGTATTTCTAGTGCATGAAGTTTTTCAGGTAGGTCTATTTCATTTGTGTCTTTGTTCTGTTGTAGTTTGTTTTATTTGCTCTTTCTTTATTACTGTTTGCTTGTCTTCTGTAAGCTTGGGTTTATTTAGCCTAGTATTGTTTTTTTTTAAATGAAAATGGTGATAAGAATTATGAAATTTCAATGGTATAATTTTTTTAAATATCATAACTTTTATTTAAAGCAAAAATAACTGTATTGGTGATTATATATCGTTATTGTAAAATAACATTACTCCTATCGTGATATAAGATTTTGGTCATATCGCCCACCACTAATTTGACATTATATTTTCTATAAATTGACATACTGTAGATCTATTATATACAATTGTGTAGTGAACACTGTGTAGGGTCCCTGTGAATTGGAAGGCAGCTTATAGTTAAAGGCTCATGCATATCCTTGAAACATTGAGTGACAAAGCATGAAAAATATATTCACCCCTTTTTAGTACAAAATACACTTGATACTGGTCTTTTCCCCAGCCACACCAGTCCACGTTAAATTAACTATCATAAATTACTTTGCTTAACACATTTCAGACAGTGAAGTGTTTGCTATTTTCATTGACTATTGTTAAATGTTTGCAGCAAGTGCTACATTCTTAAACACTTTTAGAAGCTGTGATATATTGATTGTAAGTTATAACGTGGTAAATTATCTCTCATCTCTTGACCTCATCTTCCCTCTCTCTCTCTTTCTTCCACCTTCCTGTCAAATGCTTACGCCCAGTGGGATGACGTCACCTTAGATGTGCTTGCAGCCACACAAGCCGGCTTGCACAGAGACTCGATGTATTTTAGTGTGAATAATGTGACACTATTTAAGCCCATTTTTCAGAAAGAGAGAGAATAATAAACAAAGGTTAACTTTGTTGTATTTGGTTGGGGTCCCAGACAAATCCCACTGGTGTAGGGCTATGCAAAAATATGAATAATGTACATTCATCAATAATAATGCTTTCATTCATTATAACTATATAGTGCACTATAATGATATAATAGTGTTTATTCATGTTTTATATCTGGGGTCTATATCTAGTTTAAATAATTGAAAATCAGTTTTCATAGATCAACATAAGTCATAAAGTAGCATCTATGATGTTAAGTATGTTTTTTGTGCTTTTTAAACCATCTTTGAGTCTCTCAGAGCCCAAACAGAACATTAGGTTTAATGCTGTTTTGTATAAAGCGCAAGTTCCTTTGCAGGACGGGCTGTTTGTTTGTTCTATTCATAGTCCTGTTTGTGATCATAAATGTCATAGCTGTCTGTTTCCCATGACTATTGATGATGACCAGGCAGGCACAGATGGAATCAACTGACTTTTCTGCATTTTCTGCAATTCAAAGAGAAAATCTATGGAATGGATTTAAACATGGTCAGATTTGTACTATTACACTTATAAATGGGGTCAGTAAGATTCTAATTCTTTTTGAAAGAAGTCTCAGATGCTCATCACCAGAGCAGCATTTGATCAAAAATACAGTTAAAACAGTAATATTACAAAATATTATTACAATTTCCAATAAGTGTTTGCTGTTTTAATATATTTTAAAATGTAATTTATTTCTGTGATGACAAAGCAGAATTTTCAGCATCATTACACCAGTCTTCAGTGTCACATGATCCTTCAGAAATCATTCGAATATGATCTGATGATTTGCTGCTCAAGAAACATTTATTATAATTATCATTGTTGAAAACAGTTGTGCTAATAATTTTGTTGAAACCAAATCGATATACTCTACCCCATATTAATATACTACTCCAAGAGTAAGAGAGGATGTGTGTGTGTATATTATAGGGGTTATTTACCTAAATGGCCTTTGTGGTTGAGCAGGTTTTGCTTAGTCTTGCAGTCAACGTACTCTCCTCAATTTTTCACTAACAAGATTGAGTGTGTAGCACAAGAGCAGGAATGGAGACAGGAAGAACAGGAGGGTGGGTGCTGGAGAGAGAGAGAGAGAGAGAGAGAGAGAGAAATCCTGGAGCAGCACACATCTGAGGATCAAGAGAGAGCAACTGGGATGCGTTGCCATAACAACGAATTCAGCAGGCCACCTACTAGCTTGTGTGTGTGAGAGAGAGATAGAGGAGAGGATAGAGCAAGTGTGTGTGTGTGTGTGTGTGTGTGTGTGTGTGTGTCTGTGTGTGTGTGCCAGTGAGCAGTGCTGAAGGAGAGTATAAAAAAAAGGTGTGGATGAAGCTTGCTTGTGATTGGTCACACCTCTCCTGTCTTTGTGTGGAGTGGAGCATGTTGGGTAATTGTCCATCGCCTTTTCTGATGGCTGCAGCACAGGAGCTGAGGGAGGGGTCTCTCTGCACCTCCCTTCATTCTGCTCTCTCTCTCTCTCACACACACATCCTCACACCCACTCTCCTCCCCCTACTAAAGTAAAAACAATAAAATTCATAATGGAGAGCAAGTGAATTTAGCCCTAACATGCTGATACCTCACAAAAACAACAATAGGCTACCAGCCTCCCCTACAGTAACGAATGCTTCTTAAGTCATTTAGACTAGAGGGTTACGAGCAGCACGTTGCTGTCCGTTCATACTCTGCTTGAACAGTAAGACAGCAGGCTGGGATTTGAGTGATGGTCCTTTGCTTGCCGTACACACAGACACACAGACACACACACACACAGACACACACACACACAGACACACACACACACACACACACACACACACACACACACACACACACACACACACACACACACACACACACACACACACACACACACACACACACACACACACACACACACACACACACACACACACACACACACACACACACACCAGGAGAGCAACAGCTCCGTGTGGATGATGTCATCCTATCTGCATCCTGCAGTGTTAGCAGTGCAGCTTCAGACCCTCTGTTGCCCTTCATGCTAGACTCGGACCAGTTTTATGCTTTCTTTTAGCATGGTGAGCTAAGTAGCGAAGCATAACATAATCTTTAAAGGTTAAAGGAGTTGTTCAGGCTTACAGTTTAACCTCAGTGTAAAAGATATGCTTTTTCTTTCGATATTTTTTTGGCTTCTTTCAAAGCACATGAACGGACACTTGATCAGTGTTTATTTTGCTGCTAATCAGTTTGGACATCATCTCCAAGCAATAAAGATTGCTAAAGTGTACAATTTACGATTGTTTTATGAACAATGCTATAGAATTATGCATTGTAATATCATCTCATCCTCTCCTTTGACCGAATTGAACTTAATTTCAATATGAAAAAATGGATAAATGATCCATAATATTAATCTTGCCTTGCCAGCAATGGTTTAGATAATGCTGACTCAGTTCTCACTATTATCTCCCACTAGTGGGTAATACATAAATTATATAAAATATTCCAATATTTAATTTTTATTTCTTTATTATATTCCATTATAACTCAAAAGTCATTCCTGGGGCATTTTAGTTTTCATGAAAAAGTGCAAAAGTGAAGTATAATCTCTCAGATGTATTATGTGATATAACATGTTTGATTGCTCTGAGCTGTGTTTCTAGTAAATCCAATATGCATGGGTGCTTTTTTGGGATCAATATTGACGCATGGCCTGGGGTCTTTCTGCCTACGCAGGCAGAGGGGCTTATCGCTGAGTCGTCAGTATAAGGTCACATTTAGCAACATGTGATCACACACCCTGGATGACCCTCATGCTACTGCTGTGACCGGATAGCATCTTGAAAGCTCCACGCCCCTCCCTGGCCTTAAAGGGATAGTTCACTTTGAAATTAATTTTTGATATGTTTTAGCTTACCTCAAGGGCATCCAAGATGTAGGTGTCTTTGTGTCCACAGTATTTTCAATTTTGATATTTTTAGGTCAAACCGTTCTTGTCTGTCAGTCATATAATGCAGTCCTATGGGGTCCACCTCAAAGAGCATGCACAGAGAAGTCCAAATTAAACATGATTTAATGACTCGTAAGCTAAAACATACGCTAAAACATATCAAAAACATATCAAACATATCAAAAATTAATTTCAAAGTGAACTATCCCTTTAAACTCCTCTTTTCTCCTCTCTCTCTTAACAGGTCCCACATTAATACTACTGGAGACATCTTGAACTTCAGCATAATTATCCTTAGGTTTTTTTTATTTTGTTGATTGCTTGTTGGGCAACTGATTGGTCCTTAAATGTCACCTTTTTTTTAATGCAACACAAACATGTTCTAGTAAAGTAGGACTGAACATTTTTTTTGTGTTTCTCTCTCTCTCTCTCTCTCTCTCTCTCTCTCTCTCTCTCTCTCTAGGCGATGTATCTCCAATCAGTATGTCACCCATCAGTCAGTCTCAGTTCATCCCACTGGGAGAGATTCTGTGTCTGGCCATCTCAGCCATGAACTCTGCCCGCAAGCCTGTCACACAAGATGCGCTGACGGAGCACCTTGCCACCTGCTTCCCGGGTAGCCCTCCAAACACTCTTATGTACTAGGGCTGGGAGGGGAAAATGATCCACTTAACTATCACGATTTTAAAATATTTATATTTATATTTTAATGAATTCCAGAATCGATATTAATTCATATTAAAGGCACATTATGTAAGATCTAGCTCACTGCAGTGTGAAATGAGTCTCATATAGTAGCCGCCGAGCAAACGCACAGAGTAGCATTATAACAACTTTCAACACACTCAAATGTATCTAATAGACCTTGTTCGCAAACACCGGAAGTAGCCAACCACGGCCATATTGTTGACATGACAACTGTCCTGCCCCTAGCTAGCCGCGCGCAGATTTGAGTTGAGGGGAGCAGTAACGTTAGCCTAATGGCTTTGTCTCGTCGGCATCAAGAGAAGATAAGCTTGATTGGTGTGGACGCATATCAAATAGACCCAATAGCCTTAAGTAAAGATCCGTCCTTATTGCCACCCATAACTAATTCGGATATTTATAAGTATCTCGTTCATACAGTATCCGCATACACTTCGCAGGAGCTGAAGGCGCTGTAACAAAATAACACATCATACAAGCACTAATTCCCTACCTAGTATCAACGCCAGCCCTATATGTTCATAGGTAAGCTACTGTAACTACTAACTGCAAATTACAGCATGATACTGATGTCTGATCATGCCTGAAAACTCTCAGTGTAGGTATAAACTGTGTTTTGGGGATCTGGCTAATTTAAGCCCACAAACTGGACAATATCGTATTAATACTAATTTAATAATTGTCTCAATTTATGGCAGCTTCCTCTATTTGAAAGAACAGTTTCAGCCACTGCCTACAGCTAAACCATATGTTATAAAATTATGGGGACAGACTTTGCTGTGAGGTAACGTTAAGTTATCTAAAAACTGTAACGTTAGCCTTACATGTGATAAAATGATGGGAACAGACTTTGCTGTGGGGAGTTGGCTGAAAGTTTAGCCTATTTATCCTAGCTAACCACAAGTCTCTCCTGCGCTGGCTCAACTCCTCTGTCTCCTTCCCTTCATGTTTTCTGACAGTCGGTAAAAAATACAGCGATAATACCATGGATAATACCGACGCTGCCTCGCTTGTCAATTGACAGACTGACAGTTGCCGTGGTTTCTATTTCAACAACATGGCCGCCGCGAACATTGATGACGTAGATCGAATAACATCTATATGATAAAACAGCGCTGCATTTACCCCACATTCGCATGACCGGAAGAAGCGGAAGCGGTCTGAAGCATAATAAAAGCCCCACTGCTCTCGAGCTGTGTGTCGTGCTTGTCTCTTATTAGCAATCGCTCCAGCGGTCTCGTTCCGCTCCAACGGCTTTCATAACATCAATAAATCTTTAAATACATTACCGGACAACTATGAATATGATTTCTGCCCGGGTCCCGTCGTATTCTCCACCGGCTGTAGAGGTGAAGACAACAAATCCCATGATTCCGCAAAATCAAGGCATCATCAAGCTACTCCTTTGTTTTGAATAAGCGACCTCTAGTGGCGAAAAATTACACAAGGTTCCTTTAAATTTCTTTATTTTAGTCTAAGGCGGAGGAAAGTTACCTCTTATTTCAGCAGAGGCGGTATGTGTTGAATGTGTTGGTACGTCATATTGAGAAAGTGATAAATGGCGGACGGAGAGTCATTTACAACCTGCACCATCATGTATAAGTGTATCATTCAACGTTTCCCCATGGTCTAGAGTTAAAAAAGCAAGCAAAAATCGCAATACACAGGAATATCGAATCACAATACTTGTAGAATCTCAATTCTTAAAAATCATAATACATATCATATCGGCACACAAGTATCGTGATAGTAGCCTAAAAGTTGTTGTTTTTTTCACGACAAACGTCGTTTTTTTCCTCTCTACAGTTAAAAACTTCATCAAAATGAGTCCCGTTCACACGGATCCGCGGAAAGACTAAAAAACGCTGTATTATGCATGCCAGACAAGTAATTGACAATGTCACTTTGTAAAGAAAGACTATGCGTCACCGTTCTCACAGATTCACGTTTTTGAAGTTTACACGGAGATGATAACTGTATCGATTTCAAAACTCGTTTTCAAAAGTGGGTTTTGAAGTTTGCTTTCTCAGGCCACCAAAACGGCGTTGTTGTGTAAATGAACAGCTGAACAGTTGAAAACGTTGTCGTTTAAGCAGCTCTTAAGTTAATTACTAATGATTTTTACAACGGAAATGAATCAAAGTTTTTTAAAACTTACTTAAGCTAGACAATGACTTTCTTCTAGAGATGCTGTGCAGCCAAAACAATCTTTGCTGCATTAATTTCCTATTATGATTGTAAAGCTGCTTTGAAACAGTCTGTATTGTAAAAAGTGCTATATAAATGAAAGTGTCTAGTATCGAATTGGGAGATAAGTGTATCATCCCAGCCCTATTGTGTACACACACACACACACACACAAACACACACACTCGAGTGCTGTAAAAACTCTCACAGTATTTTATAATAGACACATTAGGAATTTCCACATTAGGATTTACATATAACATCATAAAAAGGCTTCCACCTTTTGGGGGATAATCCTTGTCATAAAAAATATTGTGCCTGATAAATTTTTTGGCTTCATTATATGCTGAGAATCTCTACTGAGATTAGCAGTTGCACCTCATTGCAGTACATGAGATCCAGGGGGCGGAGTTGGATCCAGATCTAAGGGTTGGAGATGGGTAGGATTAGGGGTGGGGTTAGGGATCAGGGGGCAGAGATGGGTAGGTTAGGTATATGTAAGGTGGGAGGAGTTGGATCTGGATTTAATTCCTCCCCCTGGATTTCGTGTTCTGCAGTGAGGCCAATCTAGAGATATTAGCACTTGGTCAAATCCATAATCAGTATTTTTAGGGGAAGGCATTTACAGTAAAGAAAGACTGACTATAATTTTGATTTGTTGAATGAAATGGAAAATATTCATACTCCGTCACAATCAAAATGATTTTATAATAATGTACATTTTATAAAAATATTTTTGGAACAAAATGTGTTTCTAAACTACTGTAATTGTTGGTTATGATTATTGTGACTGTTTTGGAGTGGACAATACAATTTGTTTCATGGTACTGGTGGAAATAAAATTTATGATGACACTATTTTTCCCATGGGAAACTCCAACAGTTTACAATTTCAGAAAAAAGTGAATGTCCAAAGCAATATTTTTGTATTTTATCAAACATTATTTTTGAATAATCTCTTTAGAATGAGCCTGTTGTACACCTTCTGTTGCCCAGCGATGTTCAGAGAAATCAGTCAATCAATGTGCAAAGTGTGCAAACTTCACCTGAATAGTCTGCCTGCTTTCCTTTAAAGAAAAAAAGAAAAAATGAACAGAGGCTCTGGGTTGCGTCATGTTGGTATGGCAACTACCACTGTATGATGTAATGTCAGGCAACACTTAACCCTGACTAGTTACAGCTTATCTGCTCCTTTATCCGTTGTGTGTGTGTTTCTGTGATTGAGAGTGTTGAAAAGCTGATTTGGGTGAAGTGAGGACTTGAGTGCAGCGAGGACACCATGTAGAGTGCAGTCTACCCTGTTGGTGCTCCTTGTCTGTGAGTTACAGACGATGTTTACTTAGTTTACACATGTGATTTAAAGAATACTAAACTCAAAGAAACATCCACAGTACTGAGTCATGTGACAAATCTGATGTCTGTTTTTGAGTGCGTTTGAGCCATTCTAATTGTATATGAATATATTTTTATAAATAGGATTTAATTTTTTTAAAAAACAAAGTACATAACAGTGGTACTCAAAATATGATTTTGGACCACTGGTGTGAAATCTAAACATTTCTAAAAAAGGAAAATATCTACACTTCTTAAAACTGTTTAAGATTTTATTATTATTATTATCTAATAATATTATAATTATTTAATATTTTTTTATTTTATCATCGTTTGAGTTAATCTTATGAAGGAGGACCCCTTTGGTAAGTCACACAATGGCAGTTTTTGTCTTGTTATTACATTGAGGGGCTTACAGACGTGGTGATGAAAGATGAGGTAATGGCTGGTTTGTTGTGATTGGTGGTGACATAAATCAGCAACCAATGCTCTTCTTTTGATTGGCCTTCTATAGTTATTTATATATACTCACAGTTAATCCTACTTTTGGCATGTCAGAACTGTTTTGGATAATACTGACATCAACATGAATCCACTAATCTGCATCTCCCAACCCCCCTCAAACTTTTTCCTCCACTCTTCCCCACTCTCTATTTTTCACATCTAAGTGTTTTCCTGTTGAGCTATTTTTTTGACAAATTAATTGGTACTGATTGAAGTTTTAGTATTATCATATCACATATGTTAGCCAAATAGAAAACATTGTGTCAGCACTTACATTTAGTTTGCACTATGAAAATTATTATGAAATTTACATATGGTTGTATTTTCTTCAGGTGTACCCACTCCGAGTCCAGAGATCCTGCGGCACACGCTGAACATGTTGGTTCGGGAGAGGAAGATCTACCCCACACCAGAAGGCTACTTCATTGTTACTCCACAGACCTACTTCATCACCCCGTCTCTCATCCGCACCAACAGCAAGTGGTACCACCTGGACGAGCGACACCCAGAGCGACAGCAGCAGCAGCAACAACAGCAGCAGCAGCAGCAGCAGCAGCAGCAGCAACAGCTTCAACAACAGCAGCAACAGCTTCAACAGCAACAGGTGCCACCTCAACAACAATGCACATCACCACAATCTGGAACCATCACTCCCTCCACCTCTGGCTGTGTACGAGAAAGGCCTAACCCTAAGAACCACTGCGACTCCTATAACACCTACCGCGACGAGGTGCCCAGCATTCATACCTCCACAATTCAAAGGAAATCCCCAAAAGAACCCAAAGGAGATCCCCCTTCATACCCACAACCCCCACCCCCTCCAGCTACCATTCAGCACCCACCTGACCCCACCGATAAGAGCAAGAGCATGACCGCCACCTTCTCTTACAAGACAGACACGCTAACCAAGAAGAAGGAGGGCAGTGGTGTGGGCAGCAGTGAGAGGCAGTCTAAGAAGTTTGGGCTGAAGCTGTTCCGCTTGAGCTTCAAAAAGGACAAGACCAAACAGCTGGCCACCTTTTCAGCACAGTTCCCTCCAGAGGAGTGGCCCTTGAGGGATGAGGACACACCGTCGGCCGCAGCAATCCCCCGTGAGGTGGAGATGGAGATCATTCGCCGCATCAACCCAGACCTGACAGTGGAGAACGTGGCCCGTCACACAGCTGTAATGAAGCGGCTGGAAGAGGAACGAGCTCAGCGCCTCAAAGCCAGCTCAGCACAGCAAAGTGCCCGCAGTCGCCGCAGCCGAGGTCACCGGCGTTTACCACACGGGAAGTCGCGTTCGCACAGCAAGACGCGAGCTTCTCGGGGAGACCCCTCAGAGGGCTCCAATCTGGACCTGCCAGCAGTCAGCCTGGAGAGGGACTACCGTTTTTTCAGCCATTCTCTGGTACGCTCGCCAAGAGAGGGAATGTACACGGTGGAACGCAGAAGCGGTGGTGCCTATCTTGTCCACAGCAACCCCAACATTGCTGAGTCACACTTTCCTGTCACCCCGGAGTGGGATGTTTCAGGGGAGCTTGCAAAGAGGCGGACAGAGATGCCTTTCCCTGAGCCTTCACGTGGGACGTCACATTCTAGAGTGCACCGGAGCCACAGCCACACTCAGGACCGCAAGTCACGTAACGAGCGGCCCGATAAGGCTAAAGAGCGATCACGTTCTATGGACAACTCCAAGGGCCCGCTGGGAGGTGGGAGCTCCACGCTTGGCACGGCTGAGGATTACGACCGCAGTCCCGATGACAGAAGCCGATACTATACCGACGATGGGACGCTAAGGGCCTCCTCTCAAAAGGCCCCGCACTATTCATGCATCATGTTTTCTGCTGCCAAGTTTAGCTCGGAAATGTCTGTACTTGATATAGGCAAAATGAGTTTGGATGAATCGAGGCTCTGTAGCCCTCTAGAACGGAACAAGAGCAGGGACAGCCTCCCAGCCTACAGTGACCTGAAGGCCCTGTCACCAAAGCCTTTGGCTGATGACTACTTTCAGTGCAATACATCGAATGAAACAATCCTTACTGCCCCGCTGCCTCTGGGCAAATCTGACCATGACACTTTAACTCCATCTGACGGAATCCGCAAGGGCTCTCCAGCTGACCGGCAGACACCGCACCTCCCCTCTCCTCACCCCTTGGAGTACAAAGAGGACTCCTCGACAAAGGGGCACAACGGTTCTGGCAAACCCACACCGAGCCAGACACCTGAGCCGATGCCCAATGGACGGTTGATACAGCACCAACACAACACTGACCCAGGGGGCGGGGGAGGTGGTGGTAGCACTGGTGGCGGGGTGGACAAGAGGAAAGAGATTTTCAGTAAGGACACTTTGTTCAAACCGCCACTCAATGTTTTGACTGTGAGCTATGTGGACAGTGGCTACTCAAAGCCAGGCACTTTGCGTAAGACTCCACATATGAAATCATCCGAGGTCCTTGACACTCTGGAGACCCAACAGCCACCTAACTCCACCCCTTTGTCTGCTTCTGCCCCGGCACCTACAGGCACAGAACAGGGTGCTCCCTCCACATCTGAAGCTGCTTTTGACTATTACAACGTGTCAGATGATGACGATGAGGAGGAGGTAGAGGAGGCCTCCCGTAAAGAGGCGGCCCCGACAGAATCAAAGGGGCGGGCAGGGGCCGGGGATGGTGGTGGAGGTGGTGGGACCATGCAGTGGTTGCTAGAACGGGAGAAAGACCGGGATTTACAGCGGAAATTTGAGAACAACTTGACTCTACTTAGCCCTAAGGAGAGCGAGAATAATAACAGCCAGAAGACTGCTCACTCGGCACGGCTGGACAGCATGGACAGCAGTAGTGTGACTGTAGACAGTGGGTTTAACTCCCCTCGGTAAGTACTCGCTCCATAGAAAGAAGATGCTACAATTGAAAACCCATATTTGAGTGTACATTGTTGATCGTGAACAAGTGTTTAGTGCCTCAATTTATTGCCATTCTTCTGGGTTTTTTTAAAGATAATCTTATGACTTACCAAATTCATAAGATTAAACTAATTAATATAAACTGCTAATGTGCCAGAATCAACTTCTCTTTTCTTACATCCCACAAAATGACATAGTGGTTATGTCTAATGTCTGGTGTTTTGTTTTATTACAGTTTTTAACTAGACTGCACCTATGAAATGCATGTTTGATTTGAAGCACATTGCTGCCATAGGGCTCATATAATTTCTCATCCCATTTTATACTGAGGTGTATAGCATGGTTTCTCCCTTTTCCTTTGTCAAGGCCACAAACCAGCACAGACAGCCTTTAAGTGGGTTTCCCAGGGCTGTGTATGTGTTAGCAAGCCCTTTATGAGTGAGGGTGAGGACTTTTTTCAGTTGCTAAAAATAGACCCCTTGTGTCTGTATGACTCATTCAGAGGGATATGGCAGGAGTAGAATAACTGAGAGAGCCTACATGTTTTGCACATGTGCTGCCTCTACTGCTTACAATACACTCTTAAGAAAGGCACATAAAATAAAGGGCAATGCACCATGTTAATATGAAGAAAATTTCTGTATTGATTTTTCACAGGTGTTTTGCCCATATTTTGAATTACACATTACATTGTGTATTATGTTTGAAGGAAATGTCTGTAAACTTAATGGAAAGGGTACTAATTTTCTGCCAAAATATTGTTTTTCTTACAGTATAGTGCAAGTTTGTGTTTTTTAGCTGCACTTGCTGATCCAGGAGTCTAACATTTTTTACCTAATAATGACATTCTGACTCCTCATGCTTTGAGTGATATGCCAGTTCTTGAAAAGCAAGCTCTATACTGAAAATCTCATAGAAAAATTCTCTAAACTAAACTTTGCATTAATTTGTAATGTTTTGAAAATGTGTGTAATGCAATGGACATTAATATGATCAGTGCCATGTATTGATGATAAAAGTAAAGGGCCTTGAATATACAAAAGTTGTGGCCCAGGCAGTCACATTATTTCTGCACTCCCACACAAATTTGAAGACCCTTTATCTGAGTTGCAATGTGGCTGTGTTTTGTTCGCGCCATAAGCTTAGTCTATATGTCTTGTGTTTGCCTCTAAATTAATAGCCCCAAAAAGCTAAGGAGACAAGCTGACACAAGTCTCTGATTTTAAGACCCCTAGCAGCCCCTTCTCATTCACACACACACATACACACCCCAATCATTCACTATTTTCTGGATGACTCATAACATTAATGATGATGTCATTCTACAGCTCCTGGAAAAACACCAACATAGCTCTTGTGCATAGACACAATTTAGTTTGTGATTGATGTGAGGTAGTAATGCAATTATACGGAGTGGGACATACAAAAAAAAACCTCTGCACTTTTCTCTATGCAGTACTAATGTTAAATACATCCTATCTGAGTTTAACCTTTGTATTTAAAGGAATAGTTTTCCCCTAAAATATGTCATTGACAAATCATTGACTTACTTGTATGACTTACTTTCTACCGTGGTACACAAAAAAGGTATATTGATTGCTGGGACTGGACTTTCATGCCTCAGAAAACACAAGACACCATGAAAGTATTACTAAATTAGATCTGACTCAAATTAAAGGACAACTCCGGCGCAAAATGAACCTCGGGTGTAATAACACATTGGTACAGACTAAATCGTTCCCTGAGATTTGTTTTCATGATAATCGAATATAAAGAGTTTTATCTCTAAAAACAGTTTAGCTTATAACGCTAGTATATTGGGCATCGAGTAAGCAAAAAGAGATCGCTAGTTAATACCATTAACAAGGCTCAAATTAGCCCCACACTAACACGGCAGCATAATGAGTGTCCTTACATGCAAACCGAAGCATTGAGAACTTTGTAAGTGTATAGACAGTTTAATAAGAAGATACTTTACACAGACAGTACAGTTAGCGCATACAGACAGCAGCCATCTTGGAAAACAGTCTCGATCAATCGAACCACGAAGGTGAGCGAACAGTACGTGTAGATATTGAAGATAAGATAAATTATATTTATTTTTTTATTTTCTCTGTTGCGTTCAGTGCTTCTCTTATGCGCTCAGTGCTTTCTTCCGGAAACAACGGACCATATGAGATTCCAAGTCACAGTTCAGCTCACGTATCACCGTGTTCGTGGTTTGACTAATCGAGACTGTTTTCCAAGATGGGTCCTGTCTGTATGCGCTAACTGTACTGTCTGTGTAAAGTATCTTCTTATTAAACTGTCTATACACTTACAAAGTTCTCAATGCTTCGGTTTGCATGTAAGGACACTCATTATGCTGCCGTGTTAGTGTGGGGCTAATTTGAGCCTTGTTAATGGTATTAACTAGCGATCTCTTTTTGCTTACTCGATGCCCAATATACTAGCGTTATAAGCTAAACTGTTTTTAGAGATAAAACTCTTTACATTCGATTATCATGAAAACAAATCTCAGGGAACAATTTAGTCTGTACCAATGTGTTATTACACCCGAGGTTCATTTTGCACCGGAGTTGTCCTTTAATATTCAGTTATGAATATGCCATTTGCTTCACCTTGGAGAGCTATGTGAAGATTTTCAGTGAATAAAGATTTCAATTACAATCTGTTTCCCACAACACTATCATATGGACCTCTTTTATAGTACTTTGATGGTGCCTTATGTCATTGTGTAAGCTTCAATACCTGCCTATTGTAATTTAATGGACAAGAACAGGGAAAACGTCAACATTTCTCCTTCTGTTTTCTGTGGAAACATTCTGTGGAATACAGTCAATTAAGACTATTCCTTTAATCCACTTCTACCTTCAATATAAATATTTTTTTTTGTATATATTATATACTGCTTTCTTATTGTTAGCTTTCAGTGCTTCTGGTTTAGTTGTGCGAATATGTTATTGTTATTCCATTTTTATACAGATAAACAATCCTGCAAACCAGAGTAAAACCACATAGTGTGAGGTTTTGCATTTTCTCTTTGTGAGGACTTGTGTGATATTGTTTTCATGCCCCGAAATAATCAGTTATCTTGTCTTTAAACCCCACTCTTTTTTCTTTCCATTTCTTCTCTCTGGTCATTTTCCCCACATCTACCACTTTCTCAGCACACGGGAGAGTCTGGCGTCCAACACCTCAAGCATTGTCGAGAGTAACCGGCGACAGAATCCAGCCCTGAGTCCAGGCCACATGGGTACCACCAGCATCGGCCCCCCATTCAGCTTCCGTGCAATCCCAGAGCCCCCTACCACGCAACCTGAGAAACTGCAGAAATCCCCCAACTGCCTTGCCTCCATCACCAGCGTCTGACATGGGCCCATCTGGGTTGACGTAGGGTCAGGGTGATCTGCAATGTTGGGGTGCCTAAGTGCAGGAGGTTGGGTGACTCCCTCCATCAAGCACCTCGACTACATGGGGACTGTTAAACCCGCAGGCATGGCTTCCAGAGACTGTTCCCACAGCATCAAAGGTCACTGCAAAAAAAGAGGAAAAAGGGAAAAATGGAAAAGAAAATTTCTCATCATAGGATTTACCTTCACAAGCAATTAATCAGGAAATTCTGCAGTCGGAATCAACCGTTGTTTTCAAAATAGGCTTGAAGTAACTGGTAATTTAACAATGTTTTGTTTTCAAGAGTATATTTTGTCAGTCACAGATTAGAGATCATCCAGCCAATGGATTAAGTTTGCACGCATTAAGAAGTAGATGCTGATGTGCTGGTCAAAGGTATTAAAGATTTGTAATATTGGTATGCATTACAATTTAAAAAAATAAGGCATAAAAGCTCTCATCTGAGCAACATTTAATTCATGATTCATAAAGTTGTATAATATTCCTAAAAATAAACTCATTTCTCATGACAGTTAGATGCATTGGTGAAACAATAAGAATTATACTCATATGCTTATTAAAACAAGTACATAGACTGAATTAGTGGAAAAAATGTTCTCATTCTGAAATTAAAGATTTTTTTTCTTTTATTTTTTACCCAAACTTATTGTGCATACAATTACTTTGTATGCAACTTTACACTACGTAATGGATTTACCTGTTTCATTAAAGTTAATATTAATCTCAGGTCATGAACAGTTAACTCTCCTAAGAAGAGGTAAAGCATCAGTTAGTCTGTAATCATGTTTCTGTGGATCGTTTCACCAGTCTTTGTTTTTTTAAGGGAATAAAACACATTCTCGGTAGACAAAAATACAAATTATTTCAATTACATTTTTGTCAGGTGTAGATTATTTTTATTATGTTGATTCCCTTTTGAAATAAAAACAACTGTGTGCCAGTGTGAATCCGATACCAAGTCTCATGAACCAGGAGACTTGTGGATGTCATTGTTGGTTTGGAAACATGCTTGTCTTCTTCTGTGTAGCTTGATGGCTCTATTTGTTTTCACGAAAGGAGGAGGATGTTGGAAATCGCAATGGCGGGAACACGGGTGTTGTGTCCAAAAACACTCCAAGGAAAGGTCATAACAGTTCTCTTCCTTTGGGCCAGTGGGATTCAGAGACTCGGCCCTTTTGCTGCTCTGATGAAACCTTTATTTTGAAAAATGTTCTTTCTTGAGTTGAATCCAGACCACTATGGTGTTTTAATTTTTCACCTTTGTTTTCCCTGGGAATTGAGCTGGTTTTCAAGCCATGTCCCTGACCTAAATGCAAAATATGGTCAACAGATGACATGGTTACAATTTATGCCACAGCCAACACATTATCTGTATATTCACAATATTCTCAACCTTTTCATGATTTCAATAAATGCTTCTTTTAGGTTGGAACAACTGATTCAGTGAAAGTATGTACAAATAATTTGATCCACTGTTATTGAGAGGAACATAGATTACATTAGATCTGGACCTGCCTGTGTTATATACAGTAAGGTTCCGATCCATGAGCTAAAGCCCCTTTTCCAAGATTGAACTAAACATTAAAATACTTTTTGGACTATGGCTTTAATTGTTTGGCGTGCCATCTCAATGCACCAGAACTAACGCTCGTGTCCCTTCTGGTAGTGACTCGGTGAGATTTGGGAAAAAGAGTAGAGCTCATGACACATCCATTGGTGCTATTATGTGGTGATCCTCCCTTTTTTATCTTTTATTTGCTTCTTTTCCCATACCCTCCACAGTTTCATTGCTGGTGGATATCCTCCTGTGGGACTTCTTGTTAACCACTTTCAGCTCGCTCCCCATCACTCGACTATTACCCACACACACAGACACACCTGCAATCAGCCATGCAAACTACCCTAAACCCCACATACATGCACATAACTAGCTACCTCCACCACCTGTGTAACAACAAGGTAGGGACGTGTACAGATTTGGATTCTTTGCCTGTGGAACACAGCGCTATCAGCCTCTTCTCTGTGAATGTTGACAAGGTGCGGCGGACATTGTAACTAAGAGGACTTATTCTAAAGTAATCAGTATTAAGTGCTGTAGTTTCAACTCAATTTTTCTCAGTTTTTGACAGAAGTGTCTTTTACTTATTTGCAAGTTGTGTATAAATCTGACTAGCACCACATCTACAAAACATTCCCAATTTTATGTTTCCCCTCCGATTTGTGTAAGAAGCCATTTTCAGTTATCCGCTGCCCCCTTTACATGAATATTTGTTTATCTGCTTCATGATTTCAAGCCCAGTGAGTAACTTCAGTTTGTTGAAAATGCATCTCGACGGAAATCAAGGGACTACAATTCTATATTATAAACAAGCACCTCAACAGATAGAATATATTCAAATGAATCATGTCAGGCATCCTCCAGTCCTAAACGTTTTGCCCAAATCAAAAATTGTTAATCTGCCTTCTACTTTTTGGCAATACTGAATACAATAATATTGTTTTCAGTTTCCCACCTAATATTTGAGAGGTCAGTGGTTAGGGTCCAAACAGCCTCTTAGACCCTGTAGTTGGAGGTGGGATGAAGATTGTGGAAAGACAAAAGCCTCATATATGAATGGTTATTTTAAATCATTGCTAGACATCACAGATGTACATCAGAGAGCCACATTAGACAGAACAAGCTTCTCATAATGTCAGTTCTATAAATAGATTCTTACTCAAAACTTTTCTTAAAACAACGATTTAAGTCCAGAAGTATATTTCAGTTTAGTGACAAATACACCTCTGTAGAACTTTAATCACTTTTGAATGGTTTCTGATGGACACGAATACAAACACATGACCTCCTTTACTTGGCACGGCTTTGTCAGAGGATGCATTTTGGGTATGTGTCACATTTTGTGAAATTTAGTTTTAATTTCAAACTCCTTCATCTGGTAATCTTTTTTTCCCCTTTTTTTGTTGATAGACAAAAGGGAGTAATGCAGCCAAGACTGCCTTGTAAAAAAAAACATGTTTGCACTGAAATGCCTGGCCTCTGGTTGCTGTTAAGTCCATCCAAGACGGATGCTTTGTTTATATTGTAAAATATTTCATATGAAATAAAAATGACCATGAAATGTCTTCCCTTAACATTATGGATTTTAGAACCACGTCAGACAACATTGTTTCTAAATGGTGACAGTGTACAGTATCATACTGTAAATGAAATCAACCTGCCATGCTTAGTATAACTTCAAAAGAAAACTGAAAGATATGAGGGATCTTTTTGTAATGTCTATAATATTTGAAAAGAAGTCCCTATTTGTGTAGTAATGGTGTTTCATCGTTGTGGTAGTATATGTGATAAACCCAGTTGGGAGATTGTGTTACTTTTTCAGACAATAAAATAACATGTTTGGTTATATGTTTTACATTTTCTTGTGTCTTGAAACCTGGAATGTCCATGTTTGGTTAATATTAACTCAGCAGCACATGAAATTTCTCCGTAATCTTTTATACAATTTTTTAGGAGAAATCTTTTGGCATGCCAAATGAAATTGAAAGTAAGTGGTTCAAAAACGATTGTGTGAGAAGGGCATGACAGACATTTTTGAGAATTTTATTCTTATTACACTCTTAGAAAAAAAGGGTAAAGTGTGGTTCTTTGTAGAACACAATAATGAACCCTTTCAGTTTTATACAAGGACAAATTATTGTGTAATACTTTCATGTTTAACAATTTTTTTAATTAAAACATTTAATTGATTAAAACTTAATCCATGAAATGATGAACCCCTAAAAGATCTATATATGAAGCAACTAAGAGAAACCTTTAAGGTCGATAGAACCTTTTTAAGAGTGTAAGCATTATATTTATTGCATGTAATCACTTCTTTATGATACATTCCATTTCCCTGTTGTTTTACAGGTTAAACATAACGGATCATTGAATACTAATTTAATATGATTAATGAAAAAATAGCTAAAACATCAGGACTTCATAGATAAACTTCATGGATACCTGTCAAATTTAATCAATAAATAATTTATCTGTTTTTACTGGAAGACAGCAAATTCAAGTGTTGGTTGTATCTTGCCACCATCTAGTGGCTACAGTGTAAAACAACTTAGGCCTAAAGAATAGAGTAGACTAGTACAGTAGATCACGGTTCAATGCACATAGACTATGGAGCAAAGATTCAGTTTAATTTAAGAGCTACAACAAAATATGCTGATTTGAATCATAGGCCTATATGACAAATATCAACGAGCAGAATCTAATCGACACATTTTTTTATGGTCAGACTCAGATGCAGACATATTTGAGACGTTTGAAGTCACATGATGGTGGAAAATTGACAAAGGAAGGACAAGTGTTGCAAATTAGCTTTAGCTACAAGCACTATGATACACGCATTTGATGGCTGTTGTCACAGTTTTATCTATGTTTGTTTATTGTATCTTTCCTTATACAAATAAAACATTAGGCTAAATAAATAAATGGATAACACTGAAAAGTGTGGGGCTCAAAAGTAATTGTCAATTGGAACTCATTTATCGAGTTATTTTTTATTAAAGGTGACCTATAATTCAAAATTGAATTTACCTTGGTATAGTCAAATAACAAGAGTTCAGTGCATGGACATGACATAGAGTGAATCTCAAACTGGACTGTTTTCACGTTCTCATTTAATTCACGTTTATGAAAAACACCCCTGAAAAACGGTCGGTTCTCCACACAATACCGACTGTGACGCAATAGTCGGGATCATTAATATGTACGCCTCCAAATATTTGCATAATGCCAGCCCTCAATGCCAGGCGGAACTGCGCAGCCGAAGCTGTTTCCTCAACTTGGGCCAATACAGAGCTGGCCTCGGATCGAGCTACCAAGCAACACTTTCTGATGTGTAATTGTTCAAGTTCAGACAGGTAATCTTTCTCTCAAAATCGTTCAATACTGTTTATGCATCAGTAAGTCAAGCCAGTGACTAAAATATCAGCTTCACATCGTTTCTTTTAGTAGGATGAAAATAATCGTATTTAAATTGTGAACAAATTATATACAGAAAGCGATCAAAGAACAATCTTTCCACACAGCGCGAGTTTATCTGGACACTTGCCAAACTCGTTATGAAATCAATGACGCACGTTACTGCACAACGAAGCTCTTACTGTATTTACATCATCGTGTTTGCATTGGTGAAAGCAGAGAGAGTGCAGAAACTGCTTTGCAATGATAAGATCTTCATTCTCGCGATCAACACACTCATCTGCTCAATGCTCATCACGGCAACATTTTATGTGATGGGAATAGATCTAAATACTTTAAAAACATCTCACGATTCGTTAATCTCGATAGCTGTTATAGTAAAAACGTATAATAGCAGTAGTAAAAGTATTCGGAAGAGAGTTTCACATGTAATGCGTTGCTTTTCCATATGCAAGCATGTCAGCCAATCACAGCAGTGGCCGCGGTTACACTGAATCCCACAGCAGACACGCCCCTTCAAACAGAGTGTTCAAATCAGAGGCTAAAAGCAGGCTAGGAAAAATGCCATTTATTTCTAAATTATAATTATTTTTTATCTAAAAAACATACTAACATTATAAGGGTAACCCAGGAAACATTATAAAATAATTAAAAAAAACATTCTAGGGCACCTTTAATAAAAATATGTTAATGATTAAACACAAAGTGCGCTTTTAAAGCATTATTTTAGTTTTTGCACGCAGTTATTGTGTGTGTGTGTCTACTTAACTATATTTTGGTGACAAATTTGTACCCAGAACAGAAGCACAAGCAGTACACTCTAAAAAATGCAGGGTTAAAAAATAACCCAACCTTAACCACGCCGCTGGGTCACTATAGGACAGAACACGCGCTGGGTTGGTTTGACCCAAGTGCTGGGTTTTCCCATTTAACCCATATTGTTGGGTCATTCATTTGACCCAACCAGTGGGTGAAATTGACCATCTTGCTGGGTTAAGTCTTACTCATGTGCTGGGTTATTTCCTGTATCATTGCCTTATTAAAATTAGTAACAAATATTTTTTATATTACCGTACTAATGTAAAATAATGATTGTCTCTGTAATACAATAAACCAGAGAGGCCACTGTATATGTGATTTCAATCATTTATTTTATTTTTTTACATTTTTAATACATCTCTTTAATATTTTTTGTAAACAATTATTACAATTATACAATGTATACTCATTCTAAGGTAAAAAACCATAACGGTTCATTAAGTAAGGTCTTTATACACCACTGAAAACATAGTTATGGATATGATATTGCATTTCTGTTAACAGATCCTCCTAAATACAGTATTACACAATGCACCTTTAAAAGTCAATAAGAAACTAATTTGAACTCTTATACGATTATGATTTCATTTATTAAGATGTGTTGATTTATTAAGAAAAGCTACAAACATTTACAATGCGACTAAA